TGAATCAAACAGGGTAGATTTTAAAGACAGAGGGAGAGAGATAAATGCGAAGTAGGAAAACCCCTGCACATACTGTCAACGTATAGAAGGAAAATAGAAACACCAGAAGTGAAAAGTAAACTATGCATAAACTATCCAGTTTGTTTGTAAGGGAGACATGCTTCCTGAAAACTGCCTTGTTCTGAGACAACCAAACAAAACAAGAATAGGCCAGTCGTCGGAACCGCTAACTAATCAAGACATTTAACAACGATCCAGGCAACCAAGTGTTCCCATGTTCTCTCTCTTCCATATAAATAATTGTGATTTTCGCATAATAAATGTATTTTTATACACTTCTAGCGGTGTACTATTTCACTACCTGTGGAGTTCCGGAAGACGATCCTCGAGAATCCAGTTACGATAAAGTCCTGTGTGTTCACAACAATTTGGCGACGGACATATATATAGCACCCGCTTGTGAGCAAGCTTGGTGCCAACGCAACAACGAGAATAGCAATATGGGGAATTGTGATACAAAGCAGAGTAAAAAGGGTCCGACCGTTAAGGTAAATAACGAGAACATTTTTTGTTTGTTTCACTGTACCATTTTGCTACATTTGGGGTTTTCGTTTATTATTTTTTTATGGGCACGGGATTTCAATTAAGTAGAAGGCGGCGCGAATGCATAGGAACACCATGATCGTTGGTCTTTGATACGCTTGACAGTGCTGGAGCAAATGTCGGAGGGTGAAGATTTGATTGATGCATCCACAACCGGCGCGAAACCCAACCTGCTCCTAAGGTGTCATGCACAATCAGCGTAGAATGACGGAAACCAACAGCTTTGACGCTATCGGAATGAGGCATATACCATTATGACTGGTGCATTCAATGCGAGGATCCTTTTTGAAGATGGGCACGACAATTGATTCCCTCCACGTGGAGGGGATCTGCTCAATGTGCCAGACTTTGAAGAATAGAGCCACCAAATTTTTAACAAGTCTTATTCCATCAAGGTTGCATAGAGTTGACGGAAGGCCATCGGAGCCCGGCGCTTTATGACATCCCAAAGCTTGGATCTCCTAAGGAATTTCCGCCTCAGTTGGGTCTGTTGAGACAGACTATAGGAGGTGTCAGAATAGCTGTACGAGAAGCTGACGCTGGTGGCTAGCTAAACTGTGATTCGAAGTGCTCTGCCCATCGTTAAAGGCGTCACTGTTGATTATAAATGGACGAGCCATCAGTTTTGCAGATCGTTTTGCTTACACCCAAGGCTTTTCTACCGGTTACTCGAATGAAATAGAACAGCTTGCGGGAATTTCCCATGGCAGCAGCACGTTCCATCTCGGATGCGCGCTGCGACCATCAATTTTTGCGATCTCTGCGTAGGCTTGAATTGAGGTCGTGTTTCGCTACTAGTCGTATTTCAGTATGTTCGCTGCCGGTCGGGTTTGATCAGCTTGCGTTGAGGTGTAGAGACTCCGCAGAAATCCAGGGCGTCGTGACATGAAGTCAAACCACAACTAAGCCAGAAGAATGTAGAGCATTCTTGGCAAGCGAACAGTGCTGGTTAATGTCATCGGATGGGGTTGGTTCTAGCCTTTTATCTAGCGCGTCCTGAAAGACGGCTAAGCATGCTGATCGAGACAACCTATCAGTCTAACCGTCGCTGTGTCGTGCGGTTAGAACACCCACCGAAGAGCAGGGACAGCTTAGTGCAAACTAATGCGTGATCGGAATCAAGGGAGTGCTCTAGTTTGATCGCCAGTCTTGTATGCAACCTCAACATTTGTGGCTTATAGCGATGTGATCGATCTGAGTTTGGTGCTGACTCAAGGACAGTGGACGCCAAAAGGCAGTTGGAACGTCTCCCAGATGCGCCTCATTCGAGGTCAGCCGGCCAACTCCAACTAAGATCACGATATCAGCCCGATTCACAAACTTTTAATCTGAAGCACTGCTGTTAATACGATAATCTGAAGAACCCGAGAGCGCTGGTGTATTACGGAGGTGAAGGTGAAATGGGGGTTTGGAGTTGTGCTGGCATGTTTTTTACCAATATTGATAGATATTTCCTCCGGGTCTCGAAATCCATTCTGAATGTATCGATAACGGAATGCGAAATTAGGACAGACATTGTTTGAAGGAGCCTGAATTTTCCCAGTTTCTTTGTTGGTATCTCCTCAGAATTCTGACTGTCAAGGCAATAGTCCTCTTTGTGGCGTCATTTTTGACATTTCTAGGTGGACAAACGCGAAGAAAATGCTATCCAGCACATTGCCAAGCGCGATTGAAGGTTTATTTGAAGCTAGTTGTTTGGGCCTGTTGAGGGGGATTGACCCGGTGACTTCCTGTACGTGTGGTTCAGGCGCGCTCCACAATAGCCGAATCACGCTCCAAATTATTCAGCTTCTGACACTCGACCGCCAGTGTCAGTAAAGTGGCACTAGAATCTTGTTCATTTATGTTCAGCGGATAATTTCTGATCTCTGCATCCTGGAAAACGCAAACAAAAATAAAACTCTTGAAATGACCCTCTGTCGTCGCCCGCAGATTGAAACATTCGGACTCCTGATCTACCATGTTGCAATAGGGGTAAAATCAACGAAATCGCAATCCCAGCCAAACGAACGGATAACCGAGAACGTCTACTCCAACTGTGCGCTGACCACGAACTCTTCCGGTCAAGCACCGACTTCTCGCACAAGAAACGACACCACCTTACAAGGAAACCGTCTGGTAAAACACAGAAAAGTCCCCCGAAACGGATGTTCACAATACTACGTCAGAGATAATAGCAAATCGGCCTTTGAAGCGTAACTATATGATCCCCTTTCAGCTAAACCATCAGCCGAAGTGCTCAGTGAAGAAGCGATACAAAACAACGGCGGATTCGGGCGCACGATCAAAGTAAAATCAATGGATCCCTTCGACGTCGGCTGCCCGCCGAACGATCGCAAAGCTACTCCTCCAGATGCGAAATACCACAAAGCGCACAAATTGGTTAAACGCCACCTCATCAAGAGCATGAGGGATGGAAGGCACAGTTTAGCTTGCCCCCATTGACAAAAAGCCTCTCAATACCTGTTTTAGCTGAACAAATACTGCCAGTAGATATCAGTCCTCCATCTAAAATGCAGGTCACCAGGAAAATCAGTTATCTCAAAAGGCCTAAGACCTTCTTCCCAAATGGGCTATCCCCATGGGTTTTTAAGGATGGAGGTTCAGCCTTAGTTTTGGAGTGAACGAAACTCCTGGGCTCAGTGTGGGAGAGGGAAGAGGTTCCAACTGAATAATGCGAATCGGTTACCATGTTCGGTATGCGTTTTGCACCTTCAAAGTGCAGAATACTACTACAAGACTGGATTGGTCCATCACCCAGCCTCACTCTGACTGGATAAGTTTTGTTATCTGGGCAACTACATCTCACCCGGTGGACGCATTATGGATGAAGTGTCATCTCGCATACAGAAGGCTCGGTTGGCATTTGCTAACTTGAGACATCTGCGGCGCCGTTGCGACATCCGGCTCTCTGTGAAGGGTCGAGTGTATGCCGCGACAGTTCAGCCAGTTCTGGTATACGGTGCAGAAACTTGGCCATTAAGGAAACAGGACAAAGAAAAACTGTCGGTGTTTGAACACCGCTGTCTACGCAGCATTGCACGAATCTGGTGGGGTAGCCGGATGAGCAATGCAGAGGTTAGGGGCAGAGTTTTGGGTAAATACGGTCGTCCACTGGAGCAGGTGGTCGACCTCCATAGATTACGTTGGTTGGGACATTTGTTACGCATACAACCAGATAGGTTGCCACAGCGAGCGATGTTCTCCGAGGCGGGTAGTGGGTGGAAAAAGCCAAGGGTGGTCAAGCTAAGACCTGGCACGATGGTATGAACACCCAAACCAGGAGTCTGGGTCACAAAGTCTGAATGGAGACCTCGGGATGATCTTAACCGATGGGTAAAGAAACTGAGTGATATGGCTGGGTGTCGTTCGTGTGTCTTCCCAGTTTCTTTGCAACGTTAGACCACTGGACTTCTCCAATTTCTGTTCAACTCTGTTTTCAACTTTTCTGTCTTCTCCTATTCTTCATCCAAATGGGCAGCCAAAAGACAGCAACCAAAACCGGCGTACGAAAGTGCATGGTTAATGGTTGTACAAAACTGAACTGAACTGACGTGAATCGGTGATCATACCGATTTACAATAAAGTAGAAAGATCCTCTCGTGAAAACCACAAATAGATTAGTTTAATCAACATCATAACTGAACTTCTCGCTGGTGTTATACTCCGTTAGTTTTCTGCCACATGTGAGAACGAAGCTGGTTTTGGACCTGGTCGAGATTGTATAGACCACATCTTCACTCTGCGCCAAATTCTAGAACACAGACTCTCCTTTCGTAGACCCACTGTTTCTATCTTCCTCGATCTGAAAGCGGCTTTCAACTCAGTCGACCGATCTAAATCATGGCGCTTCCTTGTTCTGGAGTGCATGTCCAAGGAGTTAATTTCAATTTTGCGATCGCCTTACACTAATAGCCAAAGTCGAGTCCGAGCTTATGTTACTTTTTCGCCTGAGTTCACCACGGAAAGTGTTCGACAAGGTTGCCCTCGCTCCCCTTTTCTTTTTAACTTTGTCATAGATTTAATTCTTGGAAGAGCAATATCTTTGTTCAAGGATAGCGGCATTGATTTGCTCGAAGACGGTAGACCGTCTGATCTGGAGTATGCAGATGACATTGTGCTACTAAGTGGGGATCCAGGCAAGTTGCAGGGCTTTTTGGATGGTTTGAGTGCTAGTGTACCTACGTTTGGTATGCGTTTTGCACCTTCAAGGTGTAAAATGCTGCAAAAAGGTTGGGTCAGTCAAGTCCCCCACCCTCACTTTATCTCGGGAAGTAGTAGAGAAAGTAGACAAATTTTGGTGTTTAGGCAACTATATCTCACATGGCAGATGCGTCACAAATGAATTGTCAGCTCGTATACAGAAGGCTTGATTGACATTTACCAACTTGAGACATTTGTGACATCGTTGCGACATACAGCTAAATGTCCGGTAGTTTATCTAGTCCTGCTCTACGATGCAGAGACTTGGCCATTATACGAACAGGATAAAAATAGATTATCGATGTTCGAATATCACTGTCTACGCAGCATTGCATGTGACTGGTGGGAAAACCGGAAAAGCAATGCTGAGGTTAGGCGAAGAGTCTTAGGAAATCGCGGTCGTCCACTGGTGCAAGTGGTCGACCTCCATAGACTATGGTTGTTGGGAAATGTATTGCGCATGTCACCAAATAGGTTGTCACGCACGCGATGTTTGCCGAGGTAGATGGGATGGGAAAAGTTCAAGGGTGGTCAAACTAAGACCTAGCATGAGGGTATGAAAACCCTAACCAGGAGACCGGGTCACATAGGTCCCATTAGGCTTCCTGGATAGGGCCCCGTTATCACGGTAACGGGCTGCGGGTCGCAAACAGTGGCGCTCGTGCATTTACTCATTATTCTTGCAACCCCAGTCTATATGAATTCTCTATCTTCCCTGGGACTCTGCTCTGAACAGTCCAAGCTTCATACCGCACTTTTATCCAAATGGGCAGTCAAAAGAAAGCAACCGAAACCAGCGCATGAAAACGTATGGTTAATGGTTGTAAAAAGTGAACTGAAGTAGTGCAATACTTTTGTCGCGGGTTATACTTGTTTTTTTACACATAAATGGAAAGTTCACGTCGGTCAGTACTACAAAGTACAATTATCAACAGCAGGTCAGTATGCATTAGTCTCCAAGTTCTCCAAGGTGCAGTTTTGTCCCCAGATCTTTCTACAACCTATATCAGTGAACAACTGACTATTTAATATAGAATAAAGAGTGACGAACAAGCTCGTTTTCAGTGATTCGTAGTCATGCCAAATACATCACAATGAATATCACGCTGTTTATATGTTTCAATATTTAAACATTAAAAAAATCAACTGTTTTGGGGAAGGGGAATAACATCATAGGTTACCTGGGGCTGGTTTTGTCTTAGGACCGGACGTGGGATGATTATTTATCCGGCTGAACTCCTAAGACCATAACAAACCAAGGGCCAATCTAAAGGCTCCATATTTCGAAGAAGTAGAAATCGGGGAACTAAATCAAAACTAGAGGAGGAATGTGATAATGGTACAAAGAAGACGAACTGGTTTTTTTATCGAACAGAATATCCCTGTACACTCGCCTTTTCCGCACATTACAGTGCGACTCACTTGTGGTGTGCCGCGTTTTGATTCCACTCCGAGTATTAGTTCTGGGCTGGATCATTACAGCGCGGAATTACATGTCTTCAAAATTCTAGGCCTAGTACGTGCAACAACAGGCGTCGCGGTCAGTTCGAACAAATAAGATTTTTATTAATGTAAAAAAACTAGAAGTTTCATGCCGGGGAACGACAAATAGACGATTATCTTTGAAATTTGGTGTATTACGCGGGGAGGTCTCAATGGGATTGCAAAACTACTGATTTCTGAACGATCACCGGAAAGGATGCGCGCGTATTTGTTGTCGAAGAATTCAGCGTTTGCAGAACCTCCTGTATTACTGCCCTACGAATCCTTGAAAAGCTGCTTGTTTAAACGAATTCAACCAGAAAAATTCGAGACCGCTGAATTAGCCGCATTTCATTTGCTCACGCACGGTGCAAGCCAACTCACGTGAATTTATTTTCCAGCTGCAAATTTAGACATTGTGATGTACTTTTAGTGACCAAATGCAAATCCAGTTGAGTGATTGTACACTTCAGTTAGCGAAAAATTCCAAGATTTTCGGTTTTGAAGAAACTCATATGCTGTTCAACGCTAGTAACTCCAAACAGTCACCAACTTGACGGAAGGGATATTTCAAAATAAGATTAAAAGCGCCTAAAGGCACCAATTTTTCATCTCGCACTAGACAACGGATTCACTATTCGAATGACTGTAAATCTTATGGATTTCGTAATTTACAAGTGCGGTAAGCTTGGTACCATTCATTGTCTGTGGAAGTGCAAAATCACGTCTGACAGAACGCATTCCTGTTCAGTCCTCCAAAGAAATATTGCCTTAATTGCACCCAATAAAACTCCACATCTCTTTCATTGCATAACTCGTGACTTTATTATTATCGATTTCATTCGTTAAATGAGTAACATGGACATAGTGTTGATTCATTAATTTCCAACACGGATTCTAATGAACCCCCTCAGTTACATCTACTACAAACATCCCAGTTAAAATAACCACTATTCATTCATTGGCCGTTTTAGGTTCATATGAACTGCATCTTAGAGACGATTGATCACAAACGTTCCATTCTGTTTCTGGTTATAGATTCCGACATTGATATAATTGGTTTCAATCGCATGAGCCGTAGGCATTTTTCACTTTCATTCACGTCCGACTATCAATTTCGTCTGTCATTCGCATGTACCAAGCCAAAGAATGGTATTAAAATAACACCGGTGAGTTGAGAAGTAACCGTTTGTCCCCTGCTTATGAAACGTCGCAATAATCCGATTGGATTTCATAAGCCCGTAATGGTGGTAGGCGAGATGATCAGAAAGGACGATCTGACAAGTGAATTCTTCGCCTTGGGACACGCCAATGCCGCGTGTTCGGAATTAATAGTTGACTGACCTGCAGGAGAAGGAACGGACAAACAATGCTGGGAAGACAATCGTATGAATTTAGACTGGCGGATGTCGTGAGGGATTTCACCGAGAAGAAAGTCACTGCTGTCCAGACAACTGAAGGGCCCAGACGTTAACCTACGGGAGTTGCGATGACACCAAAGAAAATGACGAAAGAGGTGACGGTCATCCAATTAGATTACAACCAGATGGCCGTCAGGAATGGGTATTTCCAGGGCGAAGAACCAGAGTGCTGGCGAAAAATTGCCCGGAAAGGTCGACTGTTTCTCAGTCCAGAATCACTTGGCGATTGGGGTCTTTGTTTGACACATGCTGGTGTTTCCTTGTCAAAACCCCAGTTGACTGAGACAACAGAAGCCTGGGATACAGTGAAGATAATCAACAAATACAGATCGCAGTTAAACGACGAAGCAGATCGTAATACTCTCATTTGGAACAGAAAACATTCTTGTGAGTATGTTTCGAGGAAGTTAATTTCTTTTTTATTCACTAGTGCTGTATTACGCGTCTTTCCCCATTGTTCGCTGTCATCACCCGTTGGAATTGGAGCTCCGCTAGAGTGGAATGGTCGTCCCGTGCTTTGTATTTCACGCAGACTCACCGCTGCTGAACATCGGTAATCACAGACTCAGCATGAGAAGGCAGCTGCATATTGGGCTGTGCCGCATAAGCCAGAGTACTCACTTCACTATTATGAATTGTCATAAGGCCTTGCAGTTCGCTGGTCAAGTCATCTGCAACCAAGGTACAACGGTGGACCGTTGCGTTTTCTGCCTATTGCTACAACATCCATCATCGGAGGGCTCAGTCTATTCCAACTACAGTCCGTTTATCACGCTATGCCATTTCGGAGGGAGGTTCCATGAGTGATTGCCTACCCACTCAACCACCACAGTCAGTCTATCTCATAGGGAGACTAAAACACCTTATCACATTTTCATTTGTGTTCGTTGAAATTGGCCAAAAGACATCAACCGTCGACTTCCGGAATTTCACAAAGGTCTCGAAAAAATTTCCGTGATATACCAGTGTCTTGTGTTACAACGATCAAACATTACGTACAACTGTTCTGAATGATTTACATTCCAGTCATCTTGGCATTGAGAAAATGAAGTCTCTGGCTTGACTGAATTAAATCAAAACTTTAGCCTATTACTAAGTCCTGTGTTGACTGTATAGATAAAGTTCACGCACAACGTTCAAAATGGACGCCGTGGTCAGTATCTTCAGAAGCACAACGAATAGGTGGACTCCTGTGGTCTATTCATTAACAAGCATTATGCTCTGCTGATCTTTGATTCCTATTATCGTTTCTCAGCAGTGCATTTTACTACACCGACCAGTGCAGACTTTACTGCTCGAGTCCTCGGGAGAACTTTCAGCAGAGGTGTCCTTTACGCTATCGCGGCAGATAATAGAAGCTATTTCCCCGTTAAGAAAGTGGCTGTCAGGCTGAGCTTCATGGGTTTCCCCCATGCTCTAACTTTACTCTAGCATCCATAATCTAATGGTGCGGCAGAAAACATTTTGCACACGCTGAGGACTGCAACTACTTCTGTGAATCCCAATAAACTTGATGGACTGGATAGAGGCGCTGAAAACTTATTGATGCAATACTGCATCGCAGAGCATTCAGCTAGAGGGCATAGTCCACTAAAGCTGCTTGAAAATCGAATACTTCGGACGAATGTCATAAACATCAAACATCTGAAGGTTGTGTGTCATCGGGGCAACAATGAAAGAGCATCTCGGGGCATTGCATTAGACCACGTGGAACAAATAGTAGGTAGATAGAAACATACATCGCAGAAATGTGGAACGAATAATTTGTGATTTGCCCAGCATTTATGCTATTTCTGAGTGTACTAATTCTGTAATCTCAGAGTATTCCTTAAATAAATTAGATCCCAATACAAGTGCTGAAAAAATTACCGAAGTACTTAGAAGAAAATTTGTGCAACAAAGATCGCTATTATTACAGAAGGGAACTTCATTCAAGCTGCAGTGGATGTGGTGATTATACATAGACTACGAAAACGTTTATTTTATCTAACACGATATCCTTGTACACTAGCCTTTTCCACACATTACAGTGCGACTCTGTTGTTGTATGCTACGTTTTGATTTCATTTTGAGTACTAGCTCTGTAGGGGTGCATGGGGTAACCGGTAGGCGTAGCACATCTGGCTCGGAGAACTATCCGCCCTTTTGGGGCATCCTCTGTTCTTTGGTCTCAACCAGGCTCTCGGTTCTTGCCTGTGGCTCCAAGAAGCTGTCTGGATACACCAACAGCCACAACCCGGTGAATCGCACATCAGGCGGGCCACGTTGAGGGTAACCGGGAGTCAGGCTCTAACGATATGTACACTGCTTGATTATTAGGAGGATATTACATGCCCATATGAAGTCCGGTTAGTGGGTTCCGGCTCCAAAAGTATCAAGATCCCTGGTACCGATAGTCAACACTGGCTGAGTCACAGTGAAAATGAAACATCGGGTCCACACGGAGTGGCAGCTGCTCTAAGCCATTGGGCTAATAATGCTTTACTTTCCTGTAAATTGGTATTCTCTAGAGTTGCAGTAGCACTATTCAATGGCCATCCAGCAAAACTCACAGTAATCGCCATCTACGCTCTGACTCAACCATCCGAGAACAACGTCAAGGACGAGTTCCATGGCAACCTTCAGTCGCTTGCTGACGAAGTGCCCAAACGGGATGTACTTGCCAGAGTAAAGGACAGAAAGGCCCGAAGTGGCCCTTAAGAAGAGTCACACAAAGCATATCATAGGGAGGTTTCGCCTGGGTCAGCGCTGTCAAAATGATGGCAGACTACTCAGCTTCACTAATTGGAATCGACTGTATATTACCAACACGCGGTTTCAACGTCCAAAAAGACATCTTCTGACTTAGTACTCCAAAGACGGATTAACAGCACACCAACTAAACTACCTTCTTATCCGTTGAAGATAGGTTCCTTCAGTTGAAGACTGCCGATCTTATCACGGGGATGAATGCGGGAATAAAAGCGACTCTGATGACGTGCTAATTCGAGCAAAAGTTAGAGTCCATCCAGCAAGTCGCAGGAAGACCGTTCCGTCAAAACCCCTAGATTTGCCTCCACTGGAGAACAGAGTAAAATGCCAGGCACTGACGGGCATAACTGCATCATTGCCGAACGACCCCCTCGGTAAGCAAGAAGACCCAGAGACTCCGGCTGAAGCCCAGTGAACCAGGATGAAATAGTCGGTGCAATAAGCTGCTCTATTTGAGCTAGGCACTGGGTCACACGACTTGAAGGACTGGAAATCCGACCACACTGTCTGGTTAGTTAATGTGACCAGAAAGGCACGCCTCGCCTAATCATTTGCCTATCGCGGTCTCAGACGACAAGCAACATGATCAGCCAGAAACGATAGATGCAACTACTGGAATGAAATAGCTACAAAAATGGAGACAGCAGCAGACTTGGAGAACACAGCGACCTTCTTCCGACTTATACGATCAGGGTCGGACAAGAACCAAGTCACCCAGTTCGTGTTGCACAGCGCATCCAGCGAACTCATGTCTGATGCGGAAGGAATATCTCGATGGAAGGAACACTTCAGTCTTCCCCTCAATCGCCCTCACATTCAACCTCCGTATGCGCCCTCTTTGTCATCATTGCTATACGAAGCTAGGTGTGTTCGGTCATCAGAAGAAGTCTCAAATATCACCAACCATCTCCGGCCGCGGGAACCTCCCGGCGACGACGGGATACCCGCAGAAATCTCCAGCAATTAAAAAACCCTTTACATAGGCCAATGCGTGCAAGAGAGAGAAGCCCAAACTTGCCCAGCTGACTGGAATACATCGATTTTTCTACGTTTCCCTGAAACGGGGGATGCATCAGTGTGCGAAAACTACAGAGAGATCAGTTTGCTTGATGTGACAGCCAAGGTTTTCGCACAGCTTTTGCTGAAACGAAACACATGCGCACTCGCCCTAACCAGAGGGGATTCCGTCCCGGTGTGGGCTGCGATGATTAAATATTTACTTTACATCGAATTCCGGAACATCGCAACAAGTTCCAACAACTCATAGCAGTCTGTTTTATTGATTTTCTAGCGGCACTGGATACCATAGACCGCAAGTTCCTCTGGAACATAGTTCCGGCCCATGGTGTCTCTGTTAAACTTGTTAAAAGCATAAGATTGTATTACTCCAAAACTACCGTCCGAATCCGAAATCTAAGGTGAGGAGTCATGCTCGTACCAGTTGAGATCTGGAGTGAGACAGGGATGTCCATTATCCCGGATACTGTACAACTTTACCGTCAACTGGATAATGGGTCGTTCGATGGAAGGATATCAGGGATTTCAGATCTCTCCGAATTTCTAGCCCACCGACTTAGAATTGACTGATGATATTGTCCCCTTTAGTGAGGCATGTTCAACCTCTAAGTAATCGTTGACCGAATCAGTCGACAGGCCTTCAAGATCAGCCTAGAGGTGAACGCATCAGAAACTAAAAACGTTTGCGACAGTCCCAATTCATCCCGGAAATGCTTTACTACCAAACAATAAACCAATCGAACCCGTGGAAAGCTTTAAATAACTGGGATCAACCATAATGCCCAACGCAGGAAAGGCGTTCCTACAGCTGAAGAATTCCTCTTGGTGTAGGAATGAAATCAGCCTAAAGCTAAACGAGTTTTCTCCGTGGCAGTCCATCCTATGTTGTCGTACGGTTGAGAAAACTAGTCACTTGTAGTCCAAGACTGTGGAGGATTGAAAGTTTTCCATTGCTGTTATCCTTTGAGTACTGTGCAAGGATCAGCCTTCAAATGAAGCGGTCAGAAACCGGTGTTTTAATCGTATACTGCCGCGAACGCTAATGCAACGGTGGGGACTACAATGGTTTAGTTAAATACTTCGTAGGTCTGACAGCTCCTAGCCCGAACAGGAGCGGTCGACACGGTGGATAGCTGAAAACCTGGCTAGACACGGTACGCAAGGATACCGCAAACCTTGATCGCCGCTCCATCTATGGTATTCGCCAATGGAATCTAAGGTGGATCACAATCCGTGCTGATCTTGCCGCAGACCACCGAGCGTTGGCAGCAGAAATCCGGTATACCCAGGAAGCCGGCTTATCTCCCGGGAGCGAGCCGCTGTTAAAGTAAAGTTGGTACTAATTCTGGGCTGGATCATTATTATACGGAATTACATATGAAAACAAGTCTCTAGTTCCATCAAGAGCTACAACCAGTAATCAGGAAAAGCACAGCGAACAGATCTCACAGCACCTTCTAAAGATTAGCCAGTGAAATGGAAATGGGTAGGTCTATTTGGTTTGGACGTGAACATATACCGTTCGTCGGGGTCGATGTTGAAGGATAATGAACAGCTATGTATGGCTCGTTCCGTAAGCTTTTGCTAGCCGGTCACAGCAACGGGCCCAAAGCGCTAGAAAGCACGTTGGACGAAATAATGTGGGAAAGTTGATCAAAACATTTACGCTGTGAGCAGTAGGATAAACAGTTGGGTTGTGCACATCGCGCGCATGAAAGCTTTATCCCGAGTCTGATAATCTTACTGGTGGGGAATCTAGAGAATTGGTTGGCATAAGTTTTGTTGAAACTTTTTAACTCGTGCCCGATACAGATGGAGTTGAGTAGGACTGACGGATGGTTAAGCAATCGTGAACAGCACCTTGGCAACCATTG